AGATGAGGTCTCGCTGCCCAGGCGGGTCTCGAACCCGCGGACTCATGCAATCCACTCACCTCAGCCTCCCAAAGGCGCGGGATTACAGGCTGAGCCACCGAGCCCGGCTCAATTTTTTTTTTATGCTTAAAAAACAGGGCTTTGCTCTGTTGTCCAGGCTGGAGTGCAATGGTGTGATCACAGTTCAGTGCAGCCTCCAACATCTGGGCTCCAGTGATCCTCCCGTCTCATCCTACCAAGTAGCTGAGACTACAGGTGCATGTCTCCTATACCCAGCTAATTTATTTTATTTTTTATAGACATAGGGTCTTTCTATGTTGCGCAGGCTAGTCTCACACTCCTGGGCTCAAGCATTTCTCCCGCCTCGGCCTCCCAAAATGTTGGGATTACAGGCATGAACGGCTGTGCCTGGCCTGAGGAGATGTCTCTATTTTGCTGTCAACATTTTATGAAATTTGAACTGAGTGAAATATCCAAAGTCAAATTTTATTTTTCTCAGTTTATTAAATATATTAATCCATTTTCTTCTGGAATGCAGCATTGCTGTTGAAACGTGCCACCAATCTACACTGACTTCCATCGGAGACAATGAGTTTCTTCCTTCTAGTAGTTTTTACTTTTTTTTCCTGGAATTTCTGCTTCCATAATATTCTGTAATACTCTGGAAGTGAATTTCTCGATTTAGATCATTACTTGGTTTTGTAATTCAAATCTGGGACTTCATTTTTTTAATTTATTTATTGGAGTCGGGGGTCTCACTCTATCACCCAGGCTAGAGTACAGTGGCACAATCATGGCTCACCACAGCCTCAACCTCTTGGGTTCAGGTATTTCTCTCACCTCAGCCTCCCAAGTAACCGGGACTATAGGTGTGTGCCACCATGCCTGGCTAATTTTTTTTTTTATTTTTGTAGAGGTGAGGTCTCACTGTGTTGCCCAGGCTGGTCTCAAACTTCTAGGCTCAAGCAATCCTCCCACCTCAGCCTCCAAAAGTGCTGAGATTACAGGTATGAGCCACTGTGTCTGGCCTCTCCTGTCTTTTTAATTCTGGAGAATTCTGATGTATTATGTTGCTTTTTTGCCATTTAAAAAATGCTTTTCTTTGTGAATTCCTCTTACATATATATGGAGCCTCTTGATCTATCGTGTGTGTGTGTGTGCGTGTGTGTGTGTGTTTCTTTTTGTTTTTCAGAACTTCTGCACTTTGGTTAGTTTCCTCAATACTATTTTATTGCTAGATACAGGCTGGAGATGCTGAATCTATTGATAACACCTCAATTTCTTTTTCAAACTTTTTTTGTGTTTTCATTGATTTTGTTAATACTATCTTCCATTATGTTGTCTCTTTTCTACTACGTCAAGTCTGAAAATTATTCTGTCTACTGAGTTTGTTTTAAGTCACTCTATTATTCATCTTCAAGATCTGTAATTATTTTTCTTTCAAATTTCCTTGTCTTAGCAGGGTTCGATGGCTCAGCCTGTAATTCCGCGCTTTGAGAGGCTGAGGTGAGTGGATTGCCTGAGCCTGTGGGTTCAAGACCCGCCTGGGTAACTTGGTGAGACCTCATCTCTACAATAAATAAAAAAAAAATTAGCCGGGCATGGTAGCA